CAAAAATAATAACACTTTTGAACACAGAATTGAACTCAAACTTCTGTTCAGATGACAGCATGTTAAGTCCTTGCCAAGAGTCCAAAAACCCTTACTTCAGCCTGTTCAAGTGCTAGTAGATCAAGTTTGCCATTTCATCTTGAATAGTTTAAAAGGATTAAAGCACACCCTTACTTTGACTTTGTAAGCTACCTTTCAGGCACAGTATTAGCACTGTTAATAGCCCTGTTCTAACTGACAAGAGGAAGCAAGTCTGCTTTCCAGATGTGCGAAACCTTCATCTGTAAGCATGCTAATGCAACAGTCAAAGGAGAACATAACTTCTATTATATACAGGTAATATGACTTTTTAAATTCAGCAGTGATGGTAAAAAGCTAAAGCAGCTATGGTACAGTAATTATTTTTCCTCAAACTTAAGGGAATTTGACAGGTACCAGTAGGCAAGCATACCTCCAGCTTCACACAGCTTTTGGCAAAGCTCAGAAAACCTCACACTAGAGTTATGCAAAGCAAGATGAATAGGTTTGTGGTCAAGAAGCACAGCAGCCAGAACTGCATGGGAGTCAAGATCAAGACCTCACCTTTTGTGTTTCACTTTCTTCAGCATCCACCTCTTCTTCATCTTGCTCTGCCTCCTCAGCTGCATCTTCAGGCTCTTCAGGCTCCTCCTCCACCTGCAGAAAGGTCAGAGGTACTTTGCTATGACTTCAAGAGCTCTATTTCCTCAGAACGTTTGCTAGCTGTGACCTGACTAGCACAGGCTAGGAACTAACAATACTTTCATAAGAAGTTTGATAAATCATTTGCCCCAAGCTTTCTGAAGGGCAAGACAAGTTATTCTTTACCATTGATATGCTCACTACCATGCCTCCTCCATTAAGATACCAACAAGTTCTCGCACAACGTTTTGAGAAAACATGTGCCCATTTACTAATCTCATCCAAGGCAGGATTGAGATGCATGTCTGTTTGGCTCCTCATTTACTTGCATATAACCACCATTTGGTTAAGGATGGGTACCATTTAAACAGAAAAGAAAAAGTAGTCTCAAAGAAATTAGGAAGAGAGGACAGAAGCTTCACGGACAAACCCATCACTCCCCCAGCCAAGGGCTGGAGCTAGCCTCCTGATGGCCCACCTACATGCAAGAAACGATGCATTTCAATCTCCTTTTAAAGAAATCTACCATGGCTTCTCCATTTTAAGTGGAAAATACTCAAACAGAAACACCACCTCCCAACTGAAAGCCACTAACCTTTGCATCCAGGTCGATGTTTAAACTTAAACGAAGCATCCTTTCTATTCTATCTCCATACTCCTTGGTGTCTGGTAACATATATCCTGATCTCAAAGTTGCAGTTTCAAACAATACCACCGCAAGATCTGAAACGGTTTTGTCATCTTCATTTTCCTAACATGGAAGCATTAAGAAAAAAAATTGTTAACTAGTTCATGTGTAGCCAAACAGCCAATGTTTTACAACAGCTATTTGTTTACCTTGACTCGCCTCAGCATGTCCTTTATCAGTGGATGCCTAGGGTTTATTTCAAATGTCTTCTTTTGGCTAGCATAGTAGCTGAAAAGAATGAAAGTTACATCAGTATTTAAGCTTTAAAGTAAAGGACAACTATACCTTTAAACCCCATCAATGCTGAATAGTTACAGTAACTAGCTTTTTTTTGTTTTAAATTAAAACCACATCTTTACCACTAGTGGTAACCGTGAAAGCTTTCAAGTGATTAAGCCAGCCTGTGTTCTCCTATCAAGTGACAGATGGGAAACACTGCAGATTGAAGTTTTGCTCACCAAACAGTTTTACATATGAGACTTTGAAACAGCAGTAAGTGTAAGACAATGAGTGAGACAGCAACTCAGTTATAAACGGCCTTAGAAACAGAGGATTATCTGAATCAGATGGAAGCTTGGTGTGCCCAGCCGGGCCATCGACTACATTTCACGTCTGCTACTCCATACGAATACAAAGCTTACTTGGTAGAGATATCCTTCCCAGTTTGGTAAGCTTGAGCCTTCATGATTCTTTCCATGTTACCAGACCATCCATACTGACTAGCCACAAGTGCACATGGAGACTGGGTTAAACGTTGAGATAGCACAGCTTTTTCAATCTAGACAAAAAAGCCTTAATATTAGTTCAGAGAATCAAGCTCTTACTATGGAATAGAGCTAACAACTCTGAAATTGTATCACTTGGCCACTTGAGTGATGTCCAAAAGCTTTTTTTTTTTTTTTTTTAAAAAACAATAAGCAGTCTAGCTCAGTATCTTCCCAAGATCAACATGGATGTTACCCAACTTGGTATAGCCTTCCATAAAAGGAAGGTAGGAGGAGCTATCATCATATCCTTGATGTCCAAAGGATTAACAAGGCAAGCGTTGTAGCAAGGAGTACAGTAGCATATGCAAATAAGGGTTACCTAGCTTACTGTTTTGTACCTTGTCCTTTAAGGCCTTGTCTTTCATCCAGTTTAAGAGTGGTTCAAATTCCTTTTCCAAAGCTTCTCGACTCTCCTTCGATTTTTCACTTTCATCAAACTTAACTCCTTCTTTAGCTACGTTCTGAAACCTCTTGCCATCGAACTCTGGCAGAGCTTGAATACAGTATTCATCTACAGGTTCAGTTAGATAAATCACTTCATAGCCCTTTTTCAGAAGACGTTCGACAAACGGTGAGGACTCAGCCTAAGGAGGCAGAACAGACAGTTTAGTTGCGTTGGCGGCAGCAGCTAGCAAAACCTGTACAGGTATTTTGATAAACAGCAGAATGAGAAGACTGAACTGCAGTAGTAACATAAGCACAGGGGCTCTGCATTTACAGCAAGAACAGACAGTTCATAGCAGCAGTACTTTTGATTAGAAACCTTACTTTTTCTCCCCTCACTCCATGCTCACATACCTCCTTCCGGCTAGCGCCTGCCATAAAATATATCTTGTCCTGTTTCTCTTTCATTCTTTCCACATACTGGTCAAGGCTTGTAAGGTTACTTTCATGATGGGAGGACTGGAAGCGAAGAAGTTTAGCCAGTCGTGTACGATTGGAGTGATCCTCAATCACGCCAAGCTTTACGTTAGTACCAAATTCTTTCCAGAACGTGTCATTGTATTTTTCTTCTGCAATTTTCTTGATCATATCAAGAGTTTTACGAACAAGTTTCTTTCTGATCACCTTTAAAAAAAAGGCAGTAATATCAAGTTTTAACAGTAAGCACCTGATAACCTAAAGCACCAATTACCACCTTAGGTCTGTTAGCCATTGCCACAACAATCCCACTCATCTCATGGGACAGGGTATTTTTTCACTTATGGAAGAACCCTTAATTTGGCCTCGCTGCAAAGCATGGATTCAAGACACTTAATGCCCTTGATTTAGGGGGGAATAGAGGTAATCTAAAAACAGCAGTGCTGAGATTTTCTCTACTTCGACTTCACATTCCTAGTTTTTTCAAGCTAAATTAAGCAAGCTTGAAGTATTTTCATTTTGAAGCAGTCCCCTCCTATTAAAATGGAAAAGTTTAAAATCTAACTGGCTTACCTTTAACAATTTATGCTGCTGAAGTGTTTCACGAGATACATTCAGAGGAAGATCATCGGAATCCACCTAATGTAAGAAGAAACTTGTTCAGTATAACTAGCAGTTTTGAAAATTAAAATCTAATACAATTACAATGCAATACTTACAACACCCTTCACAAAATTAAGATATTTGGGCATCATGTCATGGAAGTCATCAGTGATGAATACTCTTC